CTTTTTACAATGTTCTAGATTGATCTCCTTATAGGAAGCTCAGAAAAACCTTACCAAATATGCAGAGACTATTTGCAATTATACCAGACAGTAATCTTGGAACTTAACCATCATTTTACTTTCACAGAATCCCAAAGAAAGAACATCGCCCCCATGACAGCTGGAAGTAATTCTAAAAGACTACATCCCCTCTGCCAACAAAGTTTGTCCTTTGGGTGAGGGACATCATTTAATGGTTGATGATAATTGGTATAGGATTGTGGGTTGGAGGGGAAATTTTATAGGCTCAGGGATCTCTTTGAAAAAAAATGGGAAAATTGGATGAAATAATAGATTAGTGTGAGCTTACACACACTAATAATAGTGAGTAATAGAGTGAATGCATGTGAGTTATAATCTATAGGCAATTGCATTTGTATAGATTCTTATAAATTAATATAATGTTAAATAATATTGAATATTATATACATTCATGCTTCTAACTCTGCTTAAAATATTTTATAAATTGATATATATTTATCATATTGCAATGCACATTTCAAGATCTATTGTTTACATTTTGATGTCATTGTCCTCATTTGTTGCAAGTTGGTTATTATATAATATTTTAATATGAAATCTTAGTCTTTAAGTTATATAGGTATTAAAAATTATAGATCAATAGTCATCTATGTTTGTCATGCTTATAGTTAGAACAATCAGGTTCTTCAGATAAGTAGAGATTATATTCTGCATAGATAGGTAATCTTAACCACTTAAAAGAACTGTAGAATATAGCATTTAACTAACTTAGAGTTCTGTTGAAGTGAGGCACTATTGCTCCTGGTAGCATTGATCTATTCCCCGAGAGAATGTTGGGCACTGAAAACACTCCACTTTGAGCTTGTTTTTTTCTTGGCAAAACTGTCTTTTGGACAAAAACATGCTCATGCCTCCACTACTGACAATATAGATGGTATCTGAATATGGATAAACAGGTCTGTTAAATCTTGTAGTTAGTAACCACTGGCTGTAAGATTTCCTACAGCACCTTCTCCTTTTGTTTAAATAAGAGAGTTCTTAGCCCAATACACAATTCTATACTATAAATAAGAATAATATATTCATTAATTATCCTATCCTAAATAGTTTATGTCTTGTATAAGAACTTGGCCAAATCATGAGAGGAAAGGAACTTCAACTATCTAGTCTTCAACCCCATCGAAGATCCAAGAAGGGAAATAATATTACTTGAGTAAGCAGGAAGTGCAATCAAGCAACTTTCAAAATGTGTAACAAATTACAGAGACAACTGGCTCCCTGGGCAATCATCCAAAGTCTCATTTGCAATGTTGAAACAACCCACTTTGGCAAAGACCTAGAATAACGGACCGACCACTTAAAGAGGTAGGAAAATTTTTAAAAACTCTCTTATCCTATCTTGGCAAGATTTAACAATACTGCTTATCCATTTTTGGATATCATTTATCTTGTCAGTAGTTGAGACACGAACATGTCTTTGCCTAAAGGCCAGTTTTGCCAAGAAGAAAACAAGCTCCAAGTGAAGTGACCGGTGTTCAACATTTTATCGGAAATAGAATGATGCTACTAGGAGCAATTGTGTCTCACTTAAACATAACTCAAAGTTATTTAAATGCCATAATCTACAGCTCTTTGAAGTGGTTGAAGATTACCTATATATGAAGAATATAATCTCTACGTATCTAAAGAACCTGATTATTCCAACTATAAAAACAATAAATGACTATTGATCTATAATTCTTAATACCTATAAACTTAAAAACTAAGGCTCATATTAGAATATTATACAAGGGGGCTGTAGAGTCGGTTCGGTGGTTAAGAGCATTGCCTGTTCTTCCAAAGGTCCTGAGTTCAATTCCAGGCAATCACATGGTGGTTCACAACCATCTGTAAAGAGGTCTGGTGCCCTCATCTGGCCTGCAGACATGCACACAGACAGAATATTGCATACATAATAAATAAATAAATATTGGAATATTATACAATAAACAACTGAAACAAATGAGTACAATGACTTCAAAATGTAAACAATGTATAAGTATCTTGATCAGAGGTAGAAATGTATGCTGCAATATGATAAATATATATATCAATCCATAAAAATGTTTTTAAGCAGAGGTAGAAGCATGAATGCATACAATATTCAATATAATTTCACATTATATCAATATACAATAATCTATACTAATGCAATTCCCTGTAAATAACAACTCACAATATTCACTCTATTTACTCACTATTATTATTAGTGTGAGTAAGCTCACACTAATCTATTATCCCATTCAATTTTCCCACATTTTTTCAAAGTGATCCTTCAGCCTCTAAAATTTTCCCTCCATCTTGCAACCCTATGCCAATTATAATCAACCCCTAAATGATATCCCTAATTCTGAGAACAAACTTTGTTGGGAGAGGAGACGTTGTCTTTTAGAATTACTTCCAGATATCATGGGGGGCGGAATTTTCTTTCTATGGGATCCTGTGAAAGTAAAATGATGGTTAATTTCCAAGCTTACTGCCTAGAATAATTGCAAATAGTCTCTCCGTATTTGGTAAGGATTTTCTGAGCTTCCTATTAGGAGGTCTGTCCAGAACATTGTAAAAAGTGCACCATTTCAGCTAACCAAGTTGGAACCATCTTGAGTAACTGGTACTCAAAAGAGATCTTGTAGTAGCGCTATCATCATCATGACGTAATATCAACCAGGTTGAGTTGATGTTCTGGGGCCCCATCTTCTTCCTGGAAATTACAAAATTTACTGCAGGAAAATTTATTGTTCATTGTGCAAACCTTCAACATTAATTATATAGACATATACAGACAAATATATTCAGTGACATGTACAATAGAGACAAAAATAGATATAAAGAAAAGTAAATTTTTTCTAAATTCTTTTTTCTTTCTGTCCCATGCTCCTGACATGAGACAGAAACTCTGAATTTTTCTTTTAACATGTTTGGATTTATAGAGGGACAGAGCCAGTGTCCAACTCCAAAGCCAACTCTATATATTCATAAACATTTATCCACCTACAAAAGGCACCCAAGGTAATGATAGGATAAAAGTGTAGATTATTGAATCTACTCTTAAAAAAATCAAGAGGCATATATATGTATGATGAGATAAAAGGGTAGATCATTAAAATTAATTTAAAAAGTAACTACTTATTTAAATATTTTACATTGATATAGATATGTATGCTTCCTTTTGATAGTAATTTGATATTATTTTTGTTAAAACATACTGTCTATGATGTTATATTTTTACTCAAGATATTTTACCTAAAACAGCTAACTTAAACATGTAGTGAAAATGGTTGCCAGGCAGTGGTGGTGCACGCCTTTAATCCCAGCACTTGGGAGGCAGAGTCAGGTGGATCTCTGTGAGTTCGAGACCAGCCTGGTCTACAAGACCTAGTTTCAGGACAGGCTCCAAAATCAGAGAGAAACCCTGTCTCGAAAAAGCAAAAAAAAAAAAAAAAAAAAAAGAAAATGTTTAGTCCTTGAAAGTTATTATTATTAAAGTACTGCATATTAGTAGTTTCTTACTTATTAAAGTTGAAAGTATAATCATGTTAGGTATGTTTTAACATCATACAGAATTTTATTATGCCTGTTGTTCTTTTTCCAGGAACCTTGATGTTGGTGAATAACATCTGTGTTAGCCAACAGAAAAAGCAGTTATCTCAAAGTGACCCTTAAACTGTTGTTTGTGACCTCTAATTTCTGATCTATCTTCCGATGATAGAAGTCTCATGATATGGATGTTCTCTTAGCAAACAGAAGAGATCTCTTGTGATGGCTCTCCGGCCCTTGTGCTTTCTTCTGGTTTAGATAAATGCTGCTCCACTGATACCCAATCCAAAACAACCTAGAGAAATGATTTGAAGAACAGTGGGGGAAGTAGGTGGTTGGGGATCCCTGCCTGAGAAGCGGGCCTGGGGCCTTTGGGGAGGCTGGGAATGAGGATCCTTCAGCTACAGGTTCTGGGACGAGCTGGGGAGTACCCAGAAGCCAGAAGGAGCACTTCAATGACAGCATCATTGAGGACCCAGAGCTAGAAGGTGATCAAAGCTTTAGGGAGTCAGGGAGATAGAGGAAGAGGATGAGAAATTAAAGGAGCTACAAAATGAGGTAGAGAAGCAGATGAATAAGAATACAACCCCAAAATAAGAGCACAACCCCAGACAATGCTGGCTCAGTGATCATCTCTTGAGGAGAAGATGGAGGCTGATGCCAGTTCCATCTATGTTGGCAATGTGGACTATGGTGCAACAGCAGAAGAGCTGGAAGCTCACTTTCATGGCTGTGGTTCAGTCAACCGTGTTACTAATTTGTCAGTCTGTAACAAATTCAGTGGCCTTGGCAAAGGGTTTGAAGATGTAGAATTCTTAGACAAAGAGGCAGTGAGAACTTCCCTGGCTTTAGGTGAGTCCCTGTTTAGAGTGAGACAAATCAAGATGATTCTCATCACTACAACAGACAGGCGTTTCCCACAAATCCAATACCATGCCCAGACTACCAATTACAACATCTCCCTGTCTCAATTCTACAGTGGTTTAAACAGCAGGCCCTGGGATCAAGTCTACAGGGGCCAGGCTAGAGTGATATCATGGTATTCCCCTTACTAAAAAAAGCATTAGAAGGAGAGAGGGGGAAAAAAGAATTTAAAAAGATAGAAAACAAACGATGACCTCGATGGGAAAAAAATGTTTTTTAAAAAAGATATACTGGAGGACTGAGAGATGGCTCAGAGGTTAAGAGTAATGACTGTTCTTCCAGCGATCCTGAGTTCAATTCCCAGCAACCACATGGTGGCTCACAACCAATTATAATGAGATCTGGTGCCCTCTGCTGGCCTGCAGGGATAAATAAATAAATAAATAAGTAAATCTTTAAAAAAAGTTATATTGTGGAAGGGGGAGAATCCCAAAATTAACTGTAGGGACCTCCTCTGGGCAGTAGGGGAGGCCCAGGGAATGGGGCAGGTGTGACATATTTCCAATGGAGATTCAACGGACACTTCTCAAATGTGCAAACTGTTTCCTGTTTCTCTGCTCCACTTCACTCTCTTTAGGACTGCTCAAGGGTAGTTGGGTACGGGTGGTAGAAGAACTATTTTTACACAGAGTTCTGGAAGGGCACCAATCTGTTCAGCTTATTTTCTTCCCTCATCTTCTCTCTGTCTTTTGCAGTCCCTGCCTGCTTCTGATTTACCAGGTCTAGGCACACGCTACCCTTCTTTCCTCAGGGCTCCAGCCTCTCCAGGCTTTTTTGGTGAACTATTTTGTTTGCTTTTTTGTTTATTTTTCTATCTTGAGTGTCTTACTTTGCAGGGTCTTGTACCAGAAAGAACTCACTCCCAGTGGATTCAGTGTAAATTCTACTTACCTTAGAGAAATACAGTACTTTCTTTTGGGAAGTTTTGCAGTGTTTTTTTTTTATTTATTTATCAGGTGTTCTTGTTTGGTTTTATTTTATCTTTACATTTTTCCCTTATATTTGGAAGGAATGGGAAGAAGTGGGAACAAGGAGGTGGGAGCTGGATTTTGTTTATTTTCTTAAACTCATTTAAAAGGGATGGGGCTTTTTAAAATAATGTGTCATGGAGAATGTTGTTTATGGAAAACAAAGAAAAATGAATTAATTTATTTTCTGCTACATGGGTTATGGTCCAAGATGTGGATTATGCTCTATCTACCTGTCCAATACAATGCACACCTGAGAAATCTCTGCAGATCAGAAACTCATTTTTCCACTGGAAGTCAGCTTCACTGGATCACACCATTGCAGCAAGTGGCAGGATCACATTAAAAGCATTCTGATGATGCATTGCAAGAAGGTCAATATCATCATTTCCTACCAGTTCTTAAACTATTTGTAATCCTTATAACACAAACCTGAAATTGGAATGCAATATTGAGAAATTCTGGAATCTAGACCTTCAGTTTTCTAATCTCTCTTCCCACTGCACACCAAGAGCAGTGCCCATGTGTGTACTCTAGACAATCACGATCACATCCTGAATTTCCAGAGACACCCCTGCCCCAATAAATTCATATAAAGGGAGGCTCAGAGAACAAGGCCCACTGCCAACATGAACCACATAGACCAACATAACTACATGCTGGCTCATGATCAGTCCAAGTCACAGCAGAAATGACAGTTCAACAGACCTGAACACCCAACACCACCATGGTATAGCTTGTGATCTTCCTTTCAACTGCTACTGCAGACACAGAATAGAATCATGGAAAGAACCCACAAACTGTCTGCTACTAGTACCCCCCATTTCTAACCCTTCCCAGAATTCCTTAATGGTTAGGGCCACATCGCTGGGCCTCAAAATATTAGCCGCTTATCTATAGAAGGATCAGATATCAAAAGACTCAGACAGCACAGTCCTTCCAGTTCTGCCCTCCCAGCCCAGAAGACAGGGGCCTAGATTAGAACGTTTGTATTTAGTACACATTATTCCACTCCCCTACAGCACATCCTATTCTTCATCCAAAGCACAGGGTCTTTTGTGTGCACATTGCTTGCACACTCACTTTCCAGTGCAGCCATTCCATTCCCTCAGAGATGGGAAATCCTAAAGACAAACACAGGTCACAGTCATAAAGGAATCACTGTTCCTGTGTAACTGTGGTTACTTTGTAACCGTTGTTAAACAAAAACAGACCATGAATTAGAAAACAATCAGGATATGTTACAGCTTGGAGGGAGCAAAGACAATGTGGACATGATGAAGTTTTAATCTCAAAAATTATTTTGAAAACTTGAAACACACTATATGGTCTTGTGCTCCAGAGACTAAGGATTTGTATTAGATCACAATAAATATTTCTCATGTATTTTCCTTAAAGATGAAGATCTTATTCCAGAAAAGTAACAGTCCTGTTAAGCAGGGACACAACATTTTACCCAGATCATCTATTTTTGATGAAATATTGTATATATCACAATTAGATTTCAAGATAAGGTCAGTCCCATACCCAGATTGCCATTGTATGGGGACTGCAAACAATGGTCAATCAGGACAATCATACATCATCACAATTGACTGATTCCACATAAGTAATCTCAGTTGAAGGAGGAAAGCCCTTAACCACAGTGCAACCTCTCACTTCCTGCACTGTGTCTCCACCAGTTTCAAAGTTGGTCATTGAGTTCAATTCTTATACCAATCCCTCTTCATTTCTAAGTCCCCAATAAAAGCCAGAATGACTAGCAGACACTCATTAACTGCTCTATTTTTCTTTCTCACTGACTAGTGAGGGACAAACCTGGAAGGAGTTGCAGTACTGTCTCCCCAGAACTGGGCAGCAGAGTTGGGATTAGGTAGGTGTTCAAAACAATTACATACATAGCATGAAGCAAGCCTAATGTATAGGAGACATTGCTCTCTCTACATAGAAATCAACATAACTTGAAAGAAATGAAATGAAACTATCAATGACTTAGAAACACTGGAGAACAGAAACAGAGATAACAGCAGCAATACACTTAAATAAAGTATTTAAAACTGATACCAAAAAGTGATCTTTAAAGTGATGATAATAATGCACTTTTAGCCGGGCGGAGGTGGTGCATACCTTTAATCCCAGCACTCAGGAGGCAGAACAAGGCAGATCTTTGTGAATTTGAGGCCAGCCTTGTCTACAAGGGCTAGCTCCAGGACAGGCTCCAAAGATACAGAGAAACCCTGTCTCAATACACCAAAAAATGCACTTTTAGGATTAAATAAAATTTTCTATTTGGACTTTAAAAAAGAGTAGGCCCTTTCTTAGGAGAGGGGATGTCATTAACAAGAGACAAATTGATGGTTCCCTTACATATGTTGACTGCTGAGCTCTGTAACCTGACAAATAGAGTTAGTCAATGGCCTGTTTTTCAAATCTTTGTGCCGACATAACTCTGTCAAGCAAGATCCATCATATTTCTTACCAAAATCAATCTACAGATTGAATACAATGCCCATCAAAATCCCAGCAAAATTCTTCAAAGACTTTGAAAGAACAGCACTCAAATTCATATGAAAAACAAAAAACCCAGGATAGCCAAAAAAATTCTATACAATAAAAGAAGTTCTGAAAGCCTCACAATCCCTGACTTCAATCAGTACTGAAAACAGCCTGGTATTGTCATAAGAACAGACAGGAAGACCAATGGAGCTGAATAGAAGACACGGATATCAATCCACCTATTTCTGAACACCTGATATTTGACCAAAAAGCAAAAAATATCAAGTGGAAAAAAGAAAGCATATTTAACTAGTGGTGCTGGCATAACTGGTTATCAACATGTAGAAAAATGAAAATAGACCCACATCTATCACCATGCACAAACCTCAAGTAGAAATGGATCAAAGACCTCAACATAAAGCCAGCCACACTGAAAATTATACAAGAAAAATTGAGAAGTACACTTGAAGGCATTGGCACAGGGAACCACTTCCTAAATATAACCGCAGTAGCACAGACACTGAGAGAAACAATTAAATGGGACGTCCTGAAACTGAAAAGCTTCTGTAAAGCAAAGGACATGGTCAACAAGGCAAAACGACAGCCTACAGGATGGGAAAATATCATCACTAACCCCACATCAGACAGAGGTCTGATCTTCAAAATATACAAAGAACTCAAGATATTGGACATCAGAAGAACTCATAATCCAACAAAACAAAATGGAGTACAGACCTAAACAGAGAACTCTCAACAGAGGAATCTAAAGTAGCTGAAAGACACTTAAGGAAATGTTCAATATCATTAATCAGAGAAATGCAAATCAAAACTTTGAGATTCCATCTAACACCTGAAAGAATGGCCAGGATTAAAAACACCGATGACAACTTATGCTGGAGAGATGGTGAGGAAATGGAAACACTTCTGCATTGCTGGTGGGAATGCAAGCTGGTATAGTCCCTTTGGATGTCAGTGTGGCAATTCCTCAGAAAATTAGGAAACAACCTTTCTCAAGACCCAGTAATACCACTTTTGGGTATGTAACCATGGGATGCTCAATCATAACACAAGGACATGTGCTGAACTATCTTCATAGAATCTTGGTTTGTCATAGCCAGAATGTGGAAACAACCTAAATGCCCCTCCATAGAAGAATGGATAAGAAAAATATATTACATCCAGGTCTACAAGAGCTAGCTCCAGGACAGGCTACAAAGATACAGAGAAACCCTGTCTCGAAAAACCAAAAAAAAGAAAAAAAAGAAATATGTGGAACATTTACACAAAGGAGTGCTACACAGCAGAAAAAACATAACGACATCTTAAATTTTGCAGGAAAATAGACGGATCTAGAAAACATTATTTTGAGTGTGGTAACCCAGACACAGAAAGATAATTATCACATGTACTCACTCATAGGTGGTTTTTAAGCATAAAGCAAAGAAAGCCAACCTGCAAACAACAATCCCAGATCTTAGACAAAAATGAAGATGCTAAGAGAGACTTACATACATCTAATCTATATGGGAAGTATGAAGTAGAAAAAGACAAGATCTCCTGAGTAAATTTGGTACATGGCGACCTTGGAAGAGGGTTGAATGTGGGAGTGGAGAGGCAGGGAGTGAAGCAAAGAAAATTGTAGAGCTCAATATATATCAATAAAAAAAGATCGATCATATGTGCAGAGGATAGTTGCCTAATTGCAAATTCAATGTTCCTTGACTCAAGATAACCTTCCTAATCTGGACACCCACACAATCTGGTCTCTGTTCATTCACATGACATTAATTTACACATGATGGGCAATTACAAACCACTCCTGCTACCACAGTCAGGCCCTTTTTCATACTGGTGGCTGCAACAGCTGATAGCCTATGCTGTGCCCCCGCAGTGCACACAATAATCTATTCTTCCTATTGTGGTCTGAGGACAGAAGAAATGCTCCATATGCAAATCCTTTTCCTGTGACTGCATTGGCAGTCAACTAGATGGTTCAAATGCGTTATATTATTATTTTGGTTTTG